AGGAAGCAGCAAAATTGGAGTGCCCATCATGTTATGAATGGAATTCGTTCTTTACCTTGTCAATCCAGATCAATATCTCTACTAGAAGATGGCAGTGAGGAAGCAATGTCTTTAGCACCTTTCGAAAATCTGTCGGAAAATGGAAACACGGAAAATGAAATCCTTTCAGATTTAGAATATACGGAAAACAAGCTCCTTCTTACAGGGACAAATAAGGAAACCAATGTCCAATTTGGAAAAACAGGTGCAAAATATTTTATTAACGATTCTGAGAATAACAAAAGACGTACCAACAAAAGGTTAGCTTTACATAAAAGTCTATTGTCTGATACTTTGTTTGATCCAGTATCCCTAAAATTGATAGATTTTGTTAACAGATACGTACTTAACAACGTTTTTATCAGCATTGCTAATTATAATAGCAATATCAATAAAACTCCAAGCATCCTTTTTGAACAAGCTGCGCAAAACGCAAAAGGTAAACATGTCATATTCTTTGAAATGGAACAACTGACCACAAATGATAGAAAAAATAAATCTATGGAAATGGAATATCATGGAAATCAGATATACTTATCAAGTGCTAAAGAAAAAATCTCTAGTTACAAAGGCAGTGGGTTATTTCCCTCTGTAAAGAAAAAGTTTGTTGTAATAAACCAGAAAGAGAACACCAAATTAGAAGAGAGCCTGATTAAGGACAGCAAAGATATACATGAGACAAGTGTCATTAACATTTGTCTTTATAATGAAGAATATGCTGAGAAAGAAAACGCAATAAGGCTTACTGAAAATGAACAGTTTACGATTAAGAACTGTCAAGAAACAGTAATATTATTAAAGGCTAAGGATTTTCCGATGACCAAAGAACTGGTTGAAATAAGCTCCAAGAGAAATTCTGGTATGAAGAGATATCCAGGTCGATGTGAGATGTCCAGACACAAATTGATTGACCAAAAAGACAGAGATGTTTCAACAATCCACATTATTTTCTTCACTCTAATGGGAAAGAAAAATCACTTTTCAGAAATATCAGACAAGTCTTCTATTGACAGTGCTATGGGGTCATTCTCCTCTGAGACCTCTGTTCAAAGTAAGCAAACTGTTCAGTTCGGTTCAATCAGCCTCCAAGAGGTTGACGAGTCATGTGCTGGTATCTCCGCCGCAAAATGTTTGGAATCTTCGCGAGATAATCTTGATGAACGCCAACAAATACGTCACTGACCGCGGAGACGAAATATTCTGATTTAACGAGTGATATAACGCTAGCTGAGGACAAGCATGGAAACTCCCAGACAAGCAATAAACATTCCACAGTAAACTCGACTACCATTCAAGTCGTGCACCAACAGAACCCTAGCTATCTCGTGGCATCGTTTCTTCAACAGGACAAATCTGTAGACTGCATAGAAACATGTCTTTATCGATGGACCATCGATGACGTAAACGTCTTTTCAGAAAATACTTTAAATAACAATATCATAACTAACAGAATTGTTCATAAAAATATGACTGAAGATATTTTTAAACCATGTTTTTCTGAATACGATATTACAACAACAACGTCGAACAAGGAGAAACCCTCACTCTCAAAAGAATCTTTTGATAATTTTGATGTTTATAACATCGAAACAGCCATGCCTGTAAGTAATCGGCTTGCAATAGAAGGTGATTTAGCTCTCTCTGCCAAAGAAACAAACTGGTATTCACAGGTAAGTTTTGTTTTATATCAATAAAGTTTTCCTAGGTTAATAAGTGAAAATTTGTTAATTTTATGAACTATAATTTTATAAACAACTTAATATTATTTAAATATAATGTTATTATTCTTACCCTTAATATCAGTTTCATTTTAAAATAAGTCCATTCTAACCTCCCAAACAAAATATGTATTTCTTTAATGCACTGTTTATTTAAACAATGCAAAATATGTTATTACGTTCGCTTTTGTTAAACGTTAGTGGCATTTGTGACTTTAAATCAACTTGAAAAGCTGATAATATTTTGGAAATAAAGGGTAATAACTGTTTACAACCTAACCATGTAGTTTTCATGGAATGATAACGATAGTTTCTTTCTTTTTGTACCTGTAACTCGATAAAAAGATCAAAGAAATATTTTCCTACTCCTCCACAAAATGAATTATTTAGCAAGTTTCTTAATTTATGCCTTCCGATCTCGTATGTGATATGGCACATTACTAGAACTATATTATAAAAATACTTAAAATATAAATATCAATAAAATATTAATTTATTTATTTCACCTTCTTTATTGTAATATGAAAACAACGAACCCTCCTGAAATATCAAAAAATGTATATGCATTTAAGTATTTTATTTCTAAAACTAACAGATAATTTGATATATTTAAACAAAATTAGATAATATTTTAATTTTGTTCTTGATCATTTTAGTATCTTGTATGCAGTTGCATACAATCTGTAATTATTCTTACAGACTTAGTATCGATTATGTCAAAGAACTCAAGTCACTTTGCACTGTTATTTACTATGAACCACATAAAGAACTAATGAACGACCTAAAAAGAGTATGAGGCGATTACAACCCAACGAAATTAACGCAGTGCGATTTAAGTTACAGATCCGAGTGATGAAGAAGGTGAAGACAGTGATACACAATAAATTATCTGTGTAGATTCTTCGAACTTTTACCGATGTTTATTTTAATAAATGTTATTGTAAATTGTTAAGTACCAAAATGTTTTCGCTGAGAATGAATAAGATAGTGTTACGTATCTACTCGTTTGTTAATTTCCGGTATAAATTCTTTCCGAGGAACTTCAGCGATACAAGTCCTTTCTTAATTAAAACTAGTTTATTCTTTCTCGATGCAACTTTTAGCAATACACAGAATCTCCACAGTAACTTTAAACTTAACAACCTTTATAACATAAGCTATAAATCACAGCGATTGACACACGTTACTTACGGTGCCTACTGTTCGCTTGACTCAATTATCTATATCTCTTTTCAATCTATCTCTTCGATCTATCTGCCTATATCACTGGCTTTTTTTTGCCAGGCTTATGTACTCAAAAAGAGGGCGTCTATCAAACACTAGTACATTCGCGGGGTTTCCCGATAATTCTAGAAACTCCAGCGCGCATGCTCCCAGCGTCACGCGACTTCTGCTGTCGTAATAATAGATTCGGGAGTGACTTAGATACTGAGCATGTCTGTAATGATTATCTTGGTTTAGACCACATAGACTATAGCAACATTGCTTCTGTCGGTATCTAAGCAGTTAGATAGAACATTTACCTCTAATTTGTTTCACGTACAGTGGTCTCCTTCACTGTATCTTTCATAACAGTAATTTTATGAATCTAAGCAACCTTATCTGTAGAGATAATCAAAACTATCTATGTAGCATGTGGGAGTTCAAGTTGGAAGCTGATGTGCTATACGTGATACGTAGATTGGAAGTGTTTTTAGTTTATGGAAGGTGTTATCAAACTTGTTTCATACAGCCGTATTACATTAGTAGGCTAATATATATAAAAAAAGGTTATATATATATAAGTAACATAGTGGAAGTTTTACATCCGTAAATGTGATGCCCTATACGTCGGAAATACTTAAATCTCACGCGCATGTTTTGTAGGATTTTACTGAAGTGTGGATTCCAGGTGGACTTATTATTGAAAGTAATACCGAGAAACCTGATTTTGTTAGTGAAAGCGATAGGTGTGTCATACAGCTTTAGTTTGACTTTCGTTAGCCTGGGGTTGCTCCATGCCGCTATGTCATCAGTATATTGAGATGCGCGAGTTAGCGGTAGGAAAGGAAACTTTACATACGTAACGTAAACGGCTTTGTACTGGTCCTCGTGGAACCCGGCGTTAAATGAGGTGGTGTTGATAGAATGTTGTCAAAGTCTGTGTGATCAGTAGGTAAACTTGATCCCCATCGTATAAACATGGATGGAATGTTGTAAGTTTTCAGCTTGAGTTATTTCCGTCATACTAGACAGACTCAATTTTTTTTTTAACATTAAAAAAAAAGAAACAGTGACTATGGCATGATCACAGTTGAAGCCATGGAAACTTTTTTGGCTTAATTAAAGTGATTTGAGGTTTAGTCTATGTTTACAGCCGTGTTCTTTTTTTTTTTAAATAGGATCATTGTATTCATAATACTATATCAGCCTTGTGCGGATAATGTTTTCCAGAAGTTTATCAATACAGTTAAGTAAGCTTATGGGACGAAAGTTACTTGAAAGTGGTGCTTTGGGTCCTTTTTTGAAAATGACAGTTATAACAACAAATTATCTCTGCCCAAGACTGCCAGTGAAAATACACATTTTGTATTTATGCTGAAGTGTAAATATTAACGAACGGATTCAGAATCTGCTTTGCAACAGATTATATTACAATATCGACACTGAAACTATATTATTTTTCAGAATCAATAAAATAAACTTGTTGGAATAATGCAACTTGTTCAATATAGATACAAACAAGCGCTTACACCCTTTTACTATTTTGATTGATTTTATAACAAAAGGTTTTCCACTAGACTGAATTTGCTTCAGAAAAAGTATATTCTTTATTGGAGACTAGTGGGTGATGTAGGCCGTTTTATATGTGATACAGCAAACATTACTTTGAAAGTATCTGTTTTGTGACTTTATATATGATCCTTTTTAAATTGAAATAAAAAGGGTTAATTCGTTGTTGAACTTTGATCATTTCTCCAATTGATTCAGTGTCCCTAATACAGCGTATAGGCAAATTATGATATTTCCATGAACTGCAGTATAACGTAATGTCATGATCATGATCAGATTAGGATTATATCAGTAAAGAGTTTGATTAACAGTGAACGATTTACGTAGCGCCTCCCAGAACGGGAAGAAATCCGCCTCAGACTAGCCATGGAGTCTGAGTGTGAGAAACATTATTACGATGAGAAATTGAAGACGGAAAAGTCCAACCTTACCACAAGACTTCAACGTAGCATGAACCTGCAAATATGTTTTATGCACGAGATGGTTAGTGATCGGGAAGACCAAGGAAGTCACCACGATAGCGATTATGGCAATTTAAAGAACCACAATGAACAAAGACAAAGTGACGACAGAAAAGACCTTCCTTCTGTGAACAAAGTTAGTATTAGTTATTATATGTTGCAAATAATTTTCACGAACAAAGTTAATGTTTTTTACTAAATTTATTGTACAACTAAAAGTCTAAATGAGCAATGGTGTAAGTAAAGGGAGAGGATATCTAGTTTATACGTGTACAAGAAATGCTCTGAACAGATAACTGTCAAAGTGAATTGTACAAACATTACAATAGAAATAACAAGTACTAATTTCAGAAAATTGTTGAACGATTGGTTAGTTATATTATTTCTTGGAATTGTTTTCTTTGTGTGTGTGTGTGTGTATTCTCTATCGTCAATTGTTATTTTTTTTTTCATGCATTATCCAGAATAAGACAGAAAAATTCTTTGATCAATATTTCAAAGAAAAACAGGTGGTCGATACGAAAAACAAAAACCCTCTTTTTCGTTTACCCGGCCAAAAAGTTGTTGCTTAATCTCTACTCATGATAAATTTAAAGAATCAAAAAAGGAAGAAGAGACGAATGAAGACTTCATGATAAAACATGCACGTCTAGAAGCAGAAGCCAGACTGGCCCTAGCTCAAGCAAAGAAAATGGCCAGAATGCAAATTGAAGTGGAAAGACAAAGATCGAAAATGTGCCCCATCCGAGAAATTGTAAGAGTTTCATAGCAAATTATTAAATATCATGAAAAAAGCAAATATTTCAATACCATAGGTAAATAAATTCAAGTAAGAAGGAATACACTTCAACTTACTCTTTGTGTAATTTAATGATTTAGATTATTTTATATATATATATTACCATTTATCTATTATGCAGCTTGAAAACCAAGCCGGCTGTATGAGCCTAACGTATAACTTTAACCTTTGAGTTTAGTTGTAATAATTATCTTTTACTTATCCCTAATATATCGTAACTATTCCCTAAATATCGTTACTTTGTGTGTAACTACTTCCAATATATTGTTACTCTGAGTGTAACTATCCCCAATATATTGTCACTCTTAGTGTAACTATCCCCTGCATATCGTTACTCTGTCGGTAACAACTCTCAATATATTGTTACTCTGTGTGTAACTACTCTCAATATATTGTTACTTTGTCTGTAACAACTCTCAATATAACGTTACTCTGAGTGTAACTACTCTCAATATATTGTTACTCTGTGTGTAACTACTCTCAATATATCGTTACTTTGTCTGTAACAACTCTCAATATAACGTTACTCTGAGTGTAACTACTCTCAATATATTGTTACTCTGTGTGTAACTACTCTCAATATATTGTTACTCTGTGTGTAACTACTCTCCTTGAGAGTTGTTACAGACAAAGTAACGATATATTAATAACGTTACTCTGAGTGTAACTACT